CCAGCACACGTCCCAAGAGGGTTAAACGTCACCCTGTTCCGATCCGGGGATCACCCCGTGGACGTCCACAGCTCCTCGCACGGCCGCCGAGCTCTCTAGCAGTGTGCGGGGTGAAGCTCTGGTCGCACACCGCCCCTTCACAGGTCCAAAGTTTGCAGAGTTGCAGAGCGCTGGTGCAGCTGACACCGTGCTACTGGGAAAGGGGTTTAAAGGCCCCCGTGGTGGTAAAATGCTCCCCCTTACTTTTTCTCACGGGCAAACGTGAGCCGGGAGGGAATGGGGAGGGCAGGAGAGAAAGACAGGGGAGCAGGCGCCTGGTGGCAGTCTTGAGAAAGAGGTCCCTGATTTGTCCCCAGGGCCAAGTTCCCGGTGAGGCAGTGTCACAGGCGAGTGACGGACTTCGCTCTTAAAAGACAAGTAGCAATCGGGTTATTGATACAAAACAGAGATTTAACAGAGCTTGGTAGTAAATGAAACAGTGGTTTAATAAGATTTGGTGGCAAGGTACACTTGAGTATTTACTGCATAGAGGACAGGGTCAGACGAACCCATCAGGGAGACCCTCCTGTTGAGTTGGGAGGTTCAGAAAAGACGCCCTCACCTTCTGAACAACTGAGAGGGGAATCCAAGTGAGGCTGGATCTACTCCTAACTCTAGACTTGGTCATTTATGTCTCAAGGATTCTATATGCACGATTGATCCTGTATTATCATTTAGCTAAGATTTCAAGCTTAGCATCCTATCAATCAGTACAAGAATCTGTTGCAGCAAGGGGTTTCTCAACCTCGAGGAGTAAACTTGAGAGGTCCCTGCTTGAGGGGAGATCCTGGCATGCAGCCCACTGCATGGAGGAAAGCCCAACAGGCTCTGGGCTGTACACTAGTTATGGAGTCAGATAATTGACTTATAGCCATATTTGCATACCAGTTACAGAAGTCAGGTTCTTCCAAACTTGGTTTGAGTCAGATCTTGACCAGCACTATGGTGGATGTGTTGTTCAGATTAGCCCTTGGCTACTGTGTTGTTATCTGTCTCCCTCAAATCCACTTCAAGCCGGATGCAGCCCCCATGACCAGACACATCCATCACAACCTCACTTGATCAGGGTTGCAGGAAGTAAAGGGCAGGTTGTGGGGAGCGCCCCGGCACAGGTGGGACTGACCATGTCAGGCATCCAGGATGTGCCCTCCCTGCCCATCACAAACTGGCTGCATGTGCAAACCTCGTGGGCAAAGCCAGAAGCTGGGGAAGCACAGAGGTCTCCATCGGCATTTCAGTAAGTACGTGGAGAGGATTTATTCCTGTGGGAGAGCTCCCCTTCTAGCACTGCTGCTGTTTAGAAATCGGATCCAGGTTGCATCACTCACACGGTGGCAATGAAACACCCCCATGAGACTGACTTGCCAAAAAACTGCAATCTTGGAAACTCAGGCTGGAAATGGGGCATAACTGGAGAATCCGGGGCTCCAAAGCAAAGCCATGTGCCCAGTGGGATGGGGCTGGTTTTCTGCAGCCACCCTGAGCAAGGGCTCGATGCAGCTGGGTTGGAGGCCGGATTCCCCAGCTAGCAAGGGTGGCAGTGCTGCTGAGTATGCAGCAGGGAGGTGTTTCCCTTCGCCTTTGCTCTGCAAACCACAGGGAGCCTGGGTGAGCCCCACCACCGCCCGCTCTCTCAAGAAACCTCTCACAACCCCGAGGCACGAAAGCTCCTGCGCACGCGAGAGCCACCGCTGCCTAAAAAGCCACCCTGTGTGCCCCCCCTCCTGCTCCCTAGTTGTGGGGAAGCTGCTGCCTGAGATTCAATTCCAACTGCTGGATTGAATCCAGGGATTCAGGGCATTCAGCCCCACCACTTTTCCACACTGGCAATGGCTCACCCTCCAGTTATCCCAATTTATAGCTGTGGGAAAAGCGAGTTGGTGCAAGGATGCTCCATCTGGACCCACCGTCCCTGCTGGGGGAGTGGGGAGAAGTACAGAGCCCCCAGGAAAAGGAGTGAGCTTCTCATGCCTCCATCTGGAGGAGGACGTTGGAGCCTACTATGTGCTCCCAGTAATGCTTGGGCCATTCTGTGCCACAGTGAAGTGGTTCTTCCAGTCCCTGGATATCCTGCAGGCAAGGAAGTGAGTGGGGCAAATCCTGACACCCCTGAAACAGTTGTACCTGTGGATGGAGGCTGCAATACAGCTCAGGAACACCCCTCACAAGCTCTCCACCACTGGCTAAAACCCACCTTCCCAGAGGAAAGGTGAGAGGCTGTGGTCCACCAGGACAGTGGGCATGGCCTCACAGCTGGCAGCAGGGTTCTTCCTCATATCCCCAAAGGACATGTGGTGGAGGACCCTCACCACCACCCCCTGCACCACCTCCTTGCCCAGAGACCATAGGGTCATCTGCACTTCCCATCGTGGGTCCTGCAGGGCAGCTGACATGGGGAGGCTGACAAAAAGGCTGGAGGAGGGGGAGGGGCAACTGGGGTGCTTTCCTCTCCATCTCACCTTCGTCTTTTTCATGTCCTCACAGAAGGAGCTGCTTCCCTGCTTCTTTTCCCACTATCCCCGCTCATGCTCATACCAGGACCCATAGGCCACTGTGGGAAGTGGTCAAGAGCTCAGCTGAAAAGCAGGGTGGTGGGGGATGCCCTCCCCACCAGCGTTTCAGGGTGGTCAACCTGGGGTTCAGCCCCAGGTCTCCAGGAACTCACTCAGCGTGTCAGGGTCAGGGAGCATCGTGGGCACCTGGAAGAAGTAGGAGGAGGAGACAACGACATCCTTGGGGTTGCAGGCCATGTAGATGACAGCCGAGGGAAAGTGGATGGGTGCAGAGCGGTGCTCCTCCCTGGCACTCAGACACAGAGAGCTGGGCAGCACCCGTGGCATCACCTTGCAGTCCTTGTCCTGGTAGAAGGAGCTGGACTGCGAGATGGGTCTTCACCACCTAAGGGGAAGCAGCTCGATACTTATGGGACAGGGGGCTTAGCGCTGGAGCCCCCGCACCCTCACCCCCA